CAGGCTCCATGCACAGCAGCTGCCCTGCTGCAGAGGCACAGGGGCTGTGGAGCCCCAGCACATGCAGTCAGCAGCAGGTACCTGCTGGAACACCCTGGGAAGGGCAGGGCTGCCCAGGGGCTGCCCAGGGCTGGCAGCCACAGCCTGACAGGGGCTGGGAATAGATGACTCCTCTGCCACTGCACAGTGGCAGTGGTGTGTCACACCCAGAAATTACTGTCTACCAACAAGGAAACAAAAAATACTGGGGTTCTCTCTCTCTCTCTCTTTTTTTTCTGTTTTTAATTTCTGTATTGGCAGAATGTGAATTCCTTAAAATAAAAATCACACACACACAAAAAAAACAACAACAACAAAAAAAAACCTATCAACAACCAAACTTGGGGAATACAGAGCAGCCCTTTGGAGACCTGCCCCCATGCCCCTGTCACTTGCTCAGGCATTTCTGTGCACAGCTGACAAAGGGAGAACAAAGCAGAGCCAGCCCTGAGCTGCACAGACTGCCCGTGCAGGCTCCCAGCTTGCTGGAGTTTCTAATGGCAACCACAGAAACTCTTCAGCTATGGCAAGCAGTGCCTCCATCCTTTTGTTGGGTCATGTTTGAAATCCTGCAAACTCTTTAAATAGCAACATCTTATGAAATACAGTCATCAGATTAAAGAGCTTTTATCTACATTTTCTAGGACTTTCTCTTAACAGTTCTCCTATGGAAAGAATGGTCTTTGAATTACTGAGGGGAAACTCACTGTCAGAGTTTTAAAATGGAATTGTAAAACTGAAAAAAAGAATGTATATAACTAAACTGGAGGTGAAGGGACACACTTCTCTGTTTCACAATTCCCCTTTAATATTCATATTCACTGAAAAAAATTAGAAATAGGTATAACTTTTGGAATTTTTTATAATCTTTTACAGAAGTCACCTACTTTAATGTTAGACTGACCTAATCTTACTAGACATGATTATCTACCTTGAAGGCTGTGGGAATTTTACTGGTGAAAGCATTGGGAGGTATAAACTGTGTTGGGAAATTAAATGCAAAACCAAAGAAGAACATATAATTCAAGCAAGGTGGGAAATGTTTTTCACATCAAAATATGAAATACGCACACACAAAATAGTTACCATATTGAAATCTCAAATACTTCCAGTTGGAAAATTCCCAGTCAACTCTATAAGTGATGGAGCTGCCAGGTATCCTCCTCCTCTCACAGAGGAGACAATCTCTGCACCCAGCTGTGAGGCAGCAAAGGAAGAGACATGATCAGGAAATCGGCTGGGAAATTGGCTGGGAAACAAGTAATATCAGGCTAAATGTTAGCAAAGACAAAGTTCATTTTACAATCATAGACAAGAATTTGTAACCTCCATGACAAGAGTAACAGAGACAGCAGCAGCTCAGTCCTCAGTTGTGTTTCTTGGGTACACATTCTTTCTTAGTCTTTTTCTTTTCCTCCCAGTTCAGCAGTAAAACAGCATCTTGTTCAACTTTGATGCTCCATGGGCATTACCAGGCCCTTTATTCCTGCAGTACAATGAGATGTGATTTTCCCCTAAAGCTTTTAGTGAATGCTGCAAAGCTTTCTGTTACTGCTGACACAATTAGCAACACCAAAAAAAAAAAAAACCCAAAACAATTAAGAGGCAAGTAGGAATAATTAAATGTGTTCTGCCATCTTGGATTGATTTACAGGTAAAATTTGGCTGAGCAGTGTTCAGCAGAGTAGTCTCTCACAGCCTATGTACAGTTGTAGAGAAAAGGAGGAGGGGGCAGGAGGTCGGAAGGCTCGACCCTTCCTGAGTTCTGCAGTGCTGTGGGGTTGCCTGTGTTGCTGGAGTAACCGTGTCCTCCTTGGGAAAATCCTGCTGCTTGCATGCAAAGAGGCTCCACTCCCTTGGGTCATGCCCTGGAAAAGCAGTGAGACCAGTGACAGGGGATCTCCCCAGTGCCGGCCTCTGTCACACTGACACCTCGTCTTTTCTTGGCTTGTGGTGACCCTGTCACTCCTGTGCTTGGGAAGGGTTTTTGTGGGACAGAGGGAGCCCAATCCCCCCTGCATGCTAATTCTGGGACAGAGCAGAGCTCTGAGCAGAGCACGGCTGGCTCTTCAGCTGCCTGTGAACAGACCAGGGAGACAGAAGAGTTCCAGAAGAATGTTCTTTATACTGCTACTCCCTGGCTGGCAGTTAACACAGATGGGACACGCAGCCAATTCCTTTGGGGATTGACCAGCAACTGGGCACTTCTCCTGGAGTCACTCCAGCCCTCCCCTCCCCGGGAGGCACAGAGGGGACAGATGTGCTGGGAATGCCCCTGGGGAGGCCAGAGGCAGCAGGGACTGGCCCCAGCCAGCAGGGCATGGCCAGCACCATCCTACAGGACACAAGCAGTGAGCACTGTGCTTGAACAGGAAGCATTTGGGCCATGAATAAAGCCAGGTCTCACTGCTGGTTTTGCTCTTTGCACAGAGAGGCAAAGTGTGCTTTTGATGTGGATGCAGGGAGAAGAAGAATAATCCTCCATTTTCCTTGGTAGATTTTCAGGCAATAAAAATGTTCCCCCTGAGCATATCTGTGCACACCTGCCTCATGCTGGTCACAATAAACAGGGGTTCTGGATATCAGGAGAGTTTGCCTGCAGGCAGGTATGGAAATGCTCCTGGTTCGGTGCCGATTCCTGACATCAGCTGTTGGTCTTGTGGCTGGGAAAGGGGAGTTCCCTTAAAACCCTCCCTCATAAATGCCCAAGGTCCCTATCTGGGCTGACTGGAGCGCTGTGCAGGCGGGTGGAAAGCTGCCCTGCAGGTTCCTGCCCCATCCCAAGGGTGCAGCACTGCAGGCTCTGCGCTGGGCAGGACCTGGCCCCAGGGAAGGACTCGCTGCCCTGCCTGGGCTCTGAGCCTCCCAGCAGCCCCAAGGAGTTCAGCAACCTGCCTTTGTCAGAAGGCCTAGTAACCACGTGTACATTCTTTCTTCTCTTAAATTACAGAGCTGATTTTACATTTCTTCTGATGGCAATTTTATTGTAAGGTCTTATTTCTCTTTTACTGCACATTAAATGGAACAGGTGGCTGTTCGGGAATCCAAATTACTCCTGTAGCACAGTGAATAAGTATGTGCAAGAGAATAATCTTGTAAAAGCTGATTACCTCGGTCATTAATAATTAGGATTTATGAGTTAAGTAATATGCTGCAATACCTTGGCAATTTCATGTGGAAAGTTAAGAGATAATTTTAGAAATAATCCATTGGGAAATCCCAAGTGACAACTAAACCAGCATCTTAGGTTCTGCCTGTGGCTTCTCCCTTCAGCTCTGGCTGTTTGAAGCTGGATTGGCAATTTGCAGTCTTGTCTCATTTGTGGACATACACATTTGTTAATTTTAATTTCTTTGTGCATTGCTTAATTGGATTCTTAGCAAGATTTTTTATTTAACAGGGTTCTCCTGGCAGAAGAATTAATAATACATCTGAAGTTTAAGTGCATGTGCACAGAGTTATCTGGTCTTACATTTTCTTCTATATTTTTTTCTGATTATTAAACAGAGTCAGTATAAATTAAATTTTCATATATTTAAAAAGACAAGATAGTACTTCCAATCTACTCTGATTTTTTTTTTTCTTATTCAGTGATATATGAAATCTGGCAAATTCAAGCCTTGCAAGTGTGGAGAGGACAATTACAAATCTAACAATATATTTTCTGTCCCTTCTCCCTTCAAGTTCAGCCCGGAGCCTAAGTGGGTGCCCATCTCTAGGTAAGCAAGACTTTTATTGAGCACCCCTGCACGGCAGAGCTGTCACTCTGTGGGCAGGGCCTGTTCCAGCATCTCCAAACATTCCAGCTATTTCTGCTCTGCCAATTACACGGGAGCAGAATCACACCTAGATTTTGCCTTTCACGTGTTTGAGGGAAACCAGACAAATAATTCAGCTTCGTGATTCAGTGCTAGGGAAGCATTCTATAATGTATTTTACATTCCTAGCCAATGTGGCATTTAGTAGTGGAGCTATATTCTCATGTAAATGCTCCCTGTGCTGTGACAAAAGAGCTTTTAAAATACATGACTCCTTTTTTTCCAACAATGGAAGTACAGGCAGATTTTAACTGTAGAGGAGCAGACAGCAAAGTAAGAGCATGTTGAAATTGATACTGAATGTAACAGAGCAGAAGAACGCCGGTGTCGCTTTATTTCAGGCCTCTGTGCTGAAGCTTGCTAGAGTCGGCAGAACTCGTGCCCTGGCACAGAAATGAGGATATATTTTGTTTTTCTTTTAAAATCTACTTTGCTCTCCATTGACGCGTGTTTAAGCTGTATGTTGTCCCAAAGTCACAGCCAAGTTTGACCATTTTAACAGACACAGGTTTTTCGGGGTGATGCAGTTTGTCAGAATTCCCAGCAGATACACTGCCGACGTTGCGGTTTTTTACCACGAAGCTGCTCCTTTCCCAGCTTTCCCCCAGCTCGCTGGCAGGCGGTAGGGCAGCCCCAGGAGCCTCTAAAGAACGGGCAGGTGTAGGGGCACAGCCGGGGGTGCCGGCACCACCGCGCAGCTGAGGACGGGGCGGTGGCAGTGCCCCGGCCGTGTGCCAAGCCCACAACCCAACGCCTTTCCCGGCAGGACACCTGCGGGTCCGGCCCGGCAGCCCGGGAATGCCGCTGCAGCCAGCCGCGGGGCCGGGAAGCGCTGCCCGTGCTGCCGGTGCCTCTCCTCGCCCCACGGCCGAGAGCTCACCCGCGCGGCCGGCCCCGCCGCCGCTACCTGCGCGGGGCAGGGCCGGGCCCGGGCGGCCCGG